GACAGCCTCTTTAATAAATGGTGTTGGGAAAATTGGACAACTACATGCAAAAAAATGAAACTAGACCATCAACTTACACCATACACAAAAAGAAACTCAAAATGGATAAAAGACTTAAATGTGACTCGTGAATCCATAAAAATTCTAGAAGAAAATTTAGGCAACAAAATTTTGGACATCATGCGGAGCAGAATTTTCACTGATACATCACCTAAGGTAACAGAAACAAAGGAAAAAATGAACACATGGGACTACATCAAACTAAAAAGCTTCTGCACAGCGAAAGATACAATCATCAAAATGGAAAGGCAACCCACTGTATGGGAGAACATCATTGCCAATGATACATCAGATAAGGGGTTAATTTCCAATATATGTAGAGTGCTCATACAACTCAACAAAAGGAAGACAAAGAACCCAATTAAAAAATGGGCAGAGGAGCTGAATAGACACCTCTCCAAACAGGACATACAAATGGCCAAGAGACATATGAAGAAATGCTCAACATCACTAATCATCAGAGAGATGCAAATGAAAACAACAATGAAGTATCATCTCACACCTGTCAGAATGGCCGCCATCAACAAATCATCAAACAACAAGTGTTGGTGAGGGTGTGGAGAAAAGGGGACTCTAATACACTGCTGTTGGGAATGCAGACTGGTGCAGCCACTATGGAAAACAATATGGTGTTACCTCAAAAAATTAAAAATTGAACTTCCATTTGACCCAGTGATCCCGCTTCTAGGAATATATCCTAAGAAGCCTGAAACACCAATCAGGAAGAATATATGTACCCCCATGTTCATAGCAGCACTATTTACAATAGCTAAGACATCTTAATGTCTTATCCTTTGAGACAACATGGAGGGACCTTGAGAGTATTATGCTAAGTGAAATAAGCCAATCAGAGAAAGACAAATACCACATGATCTCACTTATTTGTGGAATATAATGAACAAGGTGAGCTGATGAACAAAATAGACCCAGAGACATAGAAAAAAGTATGGTTCAGATAGACAAACCTCAGAGTAGGGGGGTGGGAGGGGATGGATGAGATGAACCAAAGAACTTATATGCATGTATGCATAACCAATGGGCACAGACAACAATGCTAGGGGGTGGGGAGCAGGATGGGGAGGAGGGGGTCTAGAGGGGAAAAAAGGTGAAACACCTGTAACAAAAGTAAATAAAAATTGAAAAAAAAAAGAAAGATGTGATGCCATTCTTAAAAAATATTCTTCTATTTTTATATTGTGAAGTCTAGCTCTCTGCATCACATTTAATGGGATGGCCAACCTCTGAATCACTTTTGACCTTGAAATTTGATGGACTAGCAGTACAATTATTCCCAAAATTTAAAGAACAGTTAACCACCAGAGGGCAGTCAGGTTACAAAGCAGTAAGGAGTGATGGGCGCTACAAATGGACAAGAGTGCACCTGTTGTAACCCACTCCACCATTCTTTTGACATTGTTTCTGCAAATGCTGACTCTGACTAGTACGTAGCTTGTAGATAAACAACATGTTTGCATAAGAATTCTAGAAACAGACTTCAAAGGATGCAGGTTCTGGGAGATTTGCTGACCTTCAACTGTAAAACCATGGTGATGAAAACCGGGATGACATGCACCAGACCATCACTTGACCAGTTTCGAGGTCATTATCAGAATAGACTCTGCTGGTCTGCTTGTAGAAAACTTCTCAAACCCCTCCCCTTGATCTTTTTGTTCTGTTTTCCCTCTCCCTCCTTATAAAAACTTCTGCCTGCACTGAGGTGTTATGATGGTCTTTAGGATGAGAATCCCCATCTTCTCCAGCTGCTGGCTCTGAAATAAATTATCTTTCCTTACATTAGCACCTGTCTCTTGAGGACTGGCTTTCAAAGCCACAGGCAGCTGAACCTGGACTTGATATCACTGTGACTTTTATTTATTTTTATTTATTTTTATCCTCTCCCGAGGACATTTTTCCATTTTTTGTTCAGATAGAGTGGGAGGGAGAGAGAGGAAGAGAGAGAGAGAGAAACGTCGACGTGAAAGGGACACATCAAGTGGTTGCCACCCGCACAGCCAACCAGGGCCGGGAACAAACTGCAACCGAGGTATGCGCCCTTAGCGGGAACTGAACCCAGGTCTCTCTGACCCGCAGGCCGACGCTCCAACCGCTGAGCCAAACTGGCCAGGGCTTGATATCACTGTGACTTTTAAAATTCTCATTTCAGCCCAGCCAGTGTGGCTTAGTGGTTGAGCATCGATCCATGCACAAGAAGTCACAGGTTCGCTTCCTGTGAGGTTCGGGCACATGCCAAGGTTGTGGGCCCGATCCCCCGTGGGGGGCATGCAGGAGGCAGCCAATCGATGTTCTCTCTCATCGATGTTCTCTCTCATCGATGTTTCTCTCTCTCTTTCTCTCTCTCTCTCCCTTCCTCTCTAAAAAATCAATAAAGAAAAAGAAAAATTTAAAATTCTTATTTCAATTTAATTTCATGAAAATGTTATTGCCTGTTAAGATCATGTAACCCAGTTCTGATGTGTTCATGTGTGCTGGAGTGGGGGGCTGGAGAGTATTATGCCAAGTGAATAAGTCAGAGAAAGACAAATACCATATGATCTTGCTTACATGTGAAATCTAATTAACAAAATAAACTAACAAGCAAAATAGAAACAGATTAATAGAGAAGAGATTGATAGCTGTCAGAGGGGAGGTAGGTTGTGGGGCTATGTGAAAGAGGTGATGGAATTAAGCAAAAAACCAACAATCCACCAACAATTCATAGACATAGGCAACAGCATGGTGATTACCAGAGGGAAAGGGGGCTGGGGGAGGTAAGAGGGGTAAAGGGGGGATAAATGGTGATGAAAGGCAATTTGACTTGGGGTGGTGAACATATAATACAATATACAGATGTATTATAGAACTGTACACCTGAAACCTATACAATTTTATTAACAAATATCACCTCAATAAATTCAATGAAAAAGAAAAAAAGCACAGATAATGACAGTTAAAAGCAACCATATTCTGTCACCATTTAGCTAACAGCAGCCAATTCACAGACAGCCTCACTGTGCCACGTGCTAGACACTGTGCCAAGCACTTTACATACCTCCTTATTTAACCGTTCAAACACTTTTATGATACTGTGACCACTATTAGCTCTTTTTTAAAGGTAAGAAAAGGGAGATTGTAAAAGTTTGTGCTTGGTCCAAGGTTTAAACTAAGTAAATGGAATTCCTGCAAGCCGTAACTTGAAGTGCTCCACTTACACATGTGAAGAAACAGCCTAAGCAAGGCTTAGTGCCCTATTGCCGAGGAACCAAAGATGGTGATGGCAGGCAGGGGAGCTGGAAGGACCATATTGTTTTTCAACCACTACCTACTTCTTTATTTGAACATCATGAGCTTTCCAACATGGTAACCAGACTGACTTCTGTACCGTTGATTTCTAAGTTTCCCTCTAGAGCTTGGCCTCTGTGTGGTCTGTTCTAAAGATTTAGGTTTTTAAGGAGGCAGCACCCATCCCTGAATGAACATTTCTCTAGGGGGTTAAATCTCAGCGGTTTAAGACCTGCTCAGGCAGTGTTTTTCAGAGGAACGTGTCAGGACTAGGGCTAGTTGGTGACAAAGTAAGCAAAGAAATGGAAGTGTTTATAAACTTTAATAGCCATTTTAAAGAATAATGTTGTCTGTAGAAGCTAATAAATTGGGGCTTATACTTAGTATATCTTGTTTTTAAACTTCATTTTTCATATAATTTACTTTTATCGTGTTTCACTTGAGAGGCTGAGTATAGAGGTCCCACCATGTATAAAAATAGAACTCTCACCCACAACCTGCGGCAGCAAATTGCCTAGAAAAACCCCTTGCCGGGTAGTGTGGCTCAGGGATTGAGCATGGACCCATGCACCAAGAGGTCACCAGTCTGATTCCTGCTCAGGGCACATGGCCAGGTTGTGGGCCAAGTCCTCAGTGGGGGGCATGCAGGAGGCGGCCAGTGGATGTTCTCTCTCATTGATGTTTCCATCTCTCCCTCTCCCTTCCCCTCTCTAAAATCAATAAAGGAAAAAAATATTTTTTTTTAGAAAAATACCCCGTACCTACGATAATCAGCCGGGAAGGCCGCCTGATACCAGACTTCCCGGAAGCCAGATTCCAGCTTTAGTAACAGCCCAGGAAGCTAAACGGCAACTTCTCAGACAGGTGGCCCCACATGGCCAGGACTTGCTTCAAAACTGACAGCTTCCCTAATTTTTGTTCCTGCTTCCAACTTAGAACCAACAGAGAAAGCCAAACACGGCAGCCATCACTCAGGACGCCCCGCTTCTCCTCGGGCTCCCACAGCGTCCCGGGCCGGCAGCCTCCACCGAGGGCGCGCCCGAGCCTCCCTCCTTGCCTTTCCCACCCCTCGGCCCGCCTTTGAGTCTCTGCCAAAATAGCAAGTTCTGAATAAATCGCCTTTGCATTGGGTCGGTCTTCATTTATTGCCACATACCAGGAATAAAAAAAGGAAAGTAAATAAAAAACCACAACAGGGGTCCTCCGCCACCGACGGCATAAGTACGGTCCTGGGGTCCGGAGGTCGCCTCCAGGCAGGGACCTGGAGGGCAAGGGGAGGGAGAGCATCCCAGGCACGCCCCGCTGGGGGAGCGAGGATGACGAGGTGGAGAGATTCCCTGGCTAGGAGTGCGTCCAGGGAGCGAGGGGACCGGCGTTTGGGGCGGAGAACAGGGTACCTACACTTCTTTCACCTGGGTCTCCGTCTCAACCCACGGTACGGGCGCACTTCTACGCATGCTCCCTGCGCACGCGCACTCTGGGCACCGCCCCTCGGGCTGAGGTGACGTCACGTCCGCCGAGGAGGGCGGCGGCGGCGGCGGCGGCCGGCTGCTGGTTCTTGGGGGCTGCGCCGTGCGCTGGTTCCCCGCAGGTTCCCTCCGCCCTGCAGGCCCGCTGTGGCGCCCTCGTTCCCCGGGCCGACCCCACGTCGCCAGCCCGCCCGCCGGCCGGCGCCCCTGGCCTGGTTCCGCGGCCTCCCCCGGGTTCGCACTGCGAGAGGTGAAGCGCGGCAGAGACGGGACCTGGGGTCTGAGGCCGGGGTGCGCCTCGGGCAGGCGTGTGCTTGGCAGGACTCCTCAAGGGGACGCGTTGGTCGTGCGGCCGGAGACCGCTTTCCTTAGGCAGCACACATGTCGCCATTGAAGCGTTTGGATGCGTCTTTCAGATACACCCCCAAATTCATTTCGTGTTTATTGCTTTGGAATCTGTCCTTAAAAAACAGACTGGCGGACCTCGGAGGAGGAGGGCGGGAGGGCGGGAAGACAAACCAAAGGACGTATATGCGTGTGTGCATAACCGGGGGACACAGACACAGTGGGAGGGCGTGTGGGGCCGGGAGGAGGCTGTCAGAGGGGGAAAGGACACCCTTCTGTAACGGAAATAAGTAAATTTAAAAATAAAATAAAAGCAAAAAAGAATTTGGTCCCGAAAGCTCAGAACCCTTAAGAATTTCTCATTAAGCGAATCCTAACCTCTCCTGTTATTGCCTTGACTCCCAACAAGGAAGACCTTGGCTGTCTGGAACCAGCCCTCCTGTGGTCACTGAGGACGCCTCAGAATTTCTAAAACCCGGGGATTATATTCTTTTTTGCACTGACACTTGAAGCATTTGGGTCAGGCAGTGCAATACTTTTTTGGAAAATGCATTACATCCATTATATTCTTTAAAAAAATTTTTACTTCTTTATTGATTTTAGGGAGAGAGGAAGGGAGAGGGAGAGAAATAGAAATATCAATGAACTGTCCACCTCCTGCATGCCCCCATTGGGGATTTGGCCCACAACTGGGCATGTGCCCTGACCAGGAATGGAACCGGTGATCTCTTGGTGAATGGGTCGAGGCTCAACCACTGAGCCACACTGGCCGGGCTCCATTATATTCTTAAAACACCTAAATTGACTTTTTCCTGGTGACTTGCCATCAGTCCTATAAAGATTATTTTGAAAGAACCTGAGACCACTGAACTTTCTGAATTCTGAAGGCAGTCTTTAGTTATTGTTCTGTCTCCAGCTTTGTGGCATACTTGTCAACCAGCTATGTTTCTGCCCCTGTTCTGATTTATAATGTAATGCTGTTAAACTTTATGGGTTTTGCATTTTGATAATTACCTTTGGTGGAATTGTGTTGAAAGGAAAACTAAGTAAGGCACTTGTGACTTTTTATTTTTTTGTAACTTAGTTTTTTTCATGTTACAAAATGCCCATTTTAGAAGACACAGCTAAGCAAAAGAAAATTTTAAATCATTGGGAATCCTACCTAAAGGCAACCATTACTAACATTTCAGAATATAATCTAATTTTTTAATGCATAGTATTTGTAAAACAAGAACAGTCATAGTATATACTGTTTGATAACACCGTTTGTGTAACATCTTGTCTGCCTATTTCATTTTTCTCTTTGAACATGTATTATGACTAGGTGCTCTCATAAGTAAAGTAGGATCCCTAGTACATGAACTTTGTGCCATCTGTTTTAGCAGCACAGAGGACCTTTGTTTTGTGTCTTGGGTTTTGCTCAAGGTGCACAGGTGAGGTGGTGGTAGAGTTGTGTAAAAGGAAAGATTTAATAGTTTATATTATAATAAACTGCCCTTGCATAGGGCAGTTTATTATAATATACCAGATTCACTGTAAAGTTGGAGAAAGTCATTGAAAAATTTTAATTCTTCATTCTCTGTTTCTATACTCACTTTTCTCCCTTTTCTTCTCCAAGGATGAAACATGACTGAGGATTCTCAGAGAAACTTTCGTTCAGTGTATTATGAGAAAGTGGGGTTTCGTGGAGTTGAAGAAAAGAAATCATTAGAAATTCTCCTAAAAGATGACCGTTTGGGTGAGTTTTATAAGTTAAATTAAGGCCTACTGGTTCTCAGTCATCCAAAATGTTCTGAAATAAATGTCACCTTAAGAGACATCCAGAAGTATTTGTTACCTCCTGTCTTTTTCAGTGATAGGATGACAGCAGAATGATATATATATTTTGGGAAAGTTAGGGATATTTTTCAAGTTTATATTTCACTGAGAGAGTCTGATGTTTTTGAAAGGTCTCTTAAGAAGTCAGTAATATTTTTTTTCTCATATTAGACCCATATATTTTCTTTTCTTAATTTTTAGAGGTGTCATCATAGCTTCTGGGTACATTTACAACTGTTGCTATGATTTTCTTTTATGGAAATACTGAGACTGTATTATGTATTGACATTTTAGTTTCTTCCAAGCCAATAATAAAAAGGTCTGTTCTGTGGTTGACTAAAGTAAAATAAACTGAACCATAGTTAAAAATACTACTTTATATGCATACAGTGCTTGTATTTTTATTTTATTTATTTTTTTGTTAATCCTCATTTGAGAATATTTTTCCATTGATTTTTAGATAGAGTGGAAGGGAGGGAAGGAGGGATTGAGGGAGGGGAGGGAGGGAGGGAGGGAGGGGGAGAGAGAGAGAGAGAGAGAGAGAGAAACATTGATGTGAGAGAGACACATCAATTGGTTGCCTCCCACATGACCCGGACTAGGACTGGGGATGAAACCTGCATCCCAGGTATGTGCCCTTGACTGGGAATCTAACTCATGACCCTTCAGTCTGTGGGTTGACTCTCTAACCACTGGGCCAAACTGGCCAGGGTGCATACAATGCTTTTAAAATTTCAAAACACTTTCTACCCAGTCTTTGATCCTCGCTAGACAGTCTGTGCTTTAACTATGTCTGGTATTACCATTCTCATTTGACAAGCAGGAGAATTTAGGTCTAGGACAGTCGAGTGTGCTTTATAGGAAAATGTGGATTTGAGGGCTGACTCTGCCACCCACTTGTTATGTTAACTCAATAAAGTCACTTAACTGCTTTGAGCTTTAGTTTCTGCATCTTTAAAACAGTAACTAGGCAACAAGCTTGCAAAAGTGGATTAAATGAATTAAATTCTATAAATAATAACTACTGCTAATGATTGTAAATGTAGTAATATATGCCAAATCTGTCTCCTGTGCTATGAAACACCGATTGTTTTTAAATATCTAGTTGGTGAAACCCCTGGGCTAGAAATCAGACCATTGTTGCCTTTCTTAGATCTACTGACTGTTTGGTAGGTTTCCTCTGAAGAAATGTCTTACTGTGCTTTAAGTTGTAAACAGTGAAATGCACTTTTATATATTGTGACCAGCACAAAAAGCATCTAACCGTTGTATTTTTTCTTCCTCTAGATATTGAGAAACTTTGTACTTTTAGTCAAAGATTCCCTCTCCCATCCATGTACCGTGCATTGGTGTGGAAGGTGCTTCTAGGTATGAGACCCAAGAGTTGGAAATTTATCTTAAAAAAATGTTCATTTGTCATCATGTCATTCAGAAAAAGGAGGATTTACTGAATATTGGGTCTAATCTTAGGAGACTGAATTCCTGCCCACTAGGATTGCCTTTGAGGAGAGGGCTTCAGTGGCAAAGCAGTCTATCAGTTTATTAATGATAGAAGAGAAAGTAACAGATGTCCCTGAGACAAGGTGTGGGAAGACTATTGTACTGGGAGAAGGAACTGGTCTAGGCTTTGCTGTCAACTGGGTAACCTTGAGAAAGACCTGATAGGCCTCACTTTTTAAAAAATGAACTTTTATGTATTAGCTCTCAATTTGTCATTTTTGTGATTCCTAGTCATAGAGATATACTTCCTAGTGAGTGCTAACAGAGTCAAAAGGGAATTGGAGAGATTTTACTTCCTAGAGGCGTACATGAATCAATTCCAGTGATGAGTGCTAAAGGAGAAGGAAAAAGAATCTTGTTCAGGTTCTGTGGAAGAAAAGGTATATTAGGTGCCACAAGTGACTGGCATTATTCCTTTTAACCAAGGTTTTTGTTTGTTTGTTTTTATAATTGCTGAGCCTGCTGACCCATAAACCACCCTCCTTTTCTTTCTTAAAAAAACATTTTTTAAAGTAATCCTAGAATTCCCTTGTGAGTTAAGTAGCAATACCTTCATTTTACAGCTGGGGAAAGGACTGTGAGGCCAAATACTTGCCTAAGGTCTTACAGCCTGTCAGTGGCAGAGCCAGGCTTTGAGCTCTGGTGTGTAGAGCCCATTCGAAGGTAGGATGGATTATAGACCTTGTCTTCTTTTCAGAATGTACTGTGTTTTCAGGACTTGACCGTTCTTAGTCCTAAGTCTGACTACAAACCATTCCACAAAGCCCTGCATAATGACTTTTATTATATGTCTTGGTAGTCTTTGTATACTTACATTTCTAGTAGGTTACTGTGCAGATGAAGTCTAGGAAACGGTAACAACTATTTTAGTTTTCCCCCTAGCATTTTTCTTAAATCTTAGCGTTTCCAGTGGTCATCCAAATGCGGATGTCTTTTAGGTGGCAGTGTCGATAATCTATTTCTGCTGGGAAATACTATGTGTCTTAGTACTTAATAACACCAGTGGATTAGGGGGAGAGGCACAGTTGTACTTAGTGTCACTTCCTAAGTGCCAAGGCTATTTGGCTTGTTCATCGCATATACTAGGGCTGCCATGCTATTTAGGAGACAGGCTGACTCTTCCTAGCATGGGCTGTTGATACTCAGGGACCTTGTCATTCTTACTTTGTGATATCATTTTAGGTAAATATCATAAAGAGACATTTTAGAACTACGTCTTAGAAAACAAGTTTGAGGTTTAACATGGGAACACTGTGCTGCCTCTAGTAGTATGATAAGGATTTAATGACAACTATTTAATCTGTACTGTTTTAGTCAAAATTTGGAGGACATTTTAGTGTTCTTGGCTTTTCTGGAAACCTGGCACAGAGCCCCATAGCTAAGGTAAATAAAGATTTATGTGAGGAAAAAGAACATTTAAGCAAGTTTGGTTGTTAGCTAGAGTCCTTAGAGCTCATCCAACTTTTGTTTCCCAAATGTTCTTTAGAATACTGGACCTGTGGTGTTTTGCACCAAAGAGTGCTCCATAGTCAAGTATACTAGCTAATACTTATACTACCTTAGTATGTGCTGTGTGCTTTCCAAGTGCTTTATGTATATACTTTTTTTTGTTGTTAATCCTCAACTGAGGATATTTTTCTGTTAATTTTTAGGGTGGAAGGGAGTGAAGAGGGGAGAGAGAGAGAGAGAAAAAAAAAAATCAATGTGAGAGAGACACATCGATTGATTGCCTCCCACACGATCCCAACCAGAGCCAGGAGTCAACCTGCAACCCAAATACATGCCCTTGACCGGAATCGAAACCAGGACCCTTGTCAGTCCATGGTCTGATGCTCTAACCATTCAGCCAGACTGGCCAGGGCTGTATATAAATTTTTTATTCATCACAACAACTATTTGAGAAAGATATTATGGTTCTCATTTTTCAGATGGAGAAGCGAAGGCATAGGCTGATGGCCACCCACTAGTTAGTTAATTGTAGAGCTAGAATTCAGACCTGGGAACTCTGACTCCACGGTCTGTGCTGCTGTACACTTTGGTTAACTTAATGAAGCTGGAATAAATAAAGTAACATGTTTTTCTTTATAGCAAAACTTAGCCTTGAGAAATCATTGTCACCATTTTCCAAATCTGTTTGATCATGGCACCCTTTCTCATGAAGACTCTAGGAGCTAGTGTCCTGCAAAGAACATTTGGTGAAATGCTTATTCCTCCCATTTTCCACCCACGACAGATAAGGAAACAAGAGCCTGGACAGATATTATGAGAGTCCTGGTGTTACCAGATCTGGGGCTGGAACCTAGTAGTACTGAAGGCCTGTCCTGTGCTCTTTCCACTCTGTTTTATCCGTGCCGGTTGCTTGTAAAAAAAAAAAAAAATCATGTGGTTCTTGCTCCAAAGCCATGTTTAAATTGGTTAATAAGTATAAAATGGCATCAAAATGTACTGTAAGGTGGTCCTATCAGTGCATATTAGAGATTTCTGTGGTCCTAAAGGTAGGATACTTTGTGAGCAAGTTTAATTGTTGGGGAGAGAAGGACTTGATGGGTAGTTGGTGGTTCTGAGATAAAGGGGGCTGTGCTGTCAGCTAGGGCTGCCATACAGAATACTACAGACTGGGGGACTTAAACAACAATTAATATTCTCATGGTTCTGGAGGCTAGAGGTCCAGGATAAGGTGCTGGCATATTTGGTTCCTGGTGAAGCCTCACTTCCTGGCTTGCAGATGGCCACCTGTCACTGTGTCTTCATATGGCAGAGAGTGAGAGAGCTCTGGTATTTCTTCCTTTACTTATAAGGACACCAGCCCTATTGGATTGGGGCCCAACCCTTGTAACCTCATTTAACTTGACCTTCTTATAGGCCCTGCCTCCAAATATAGTCACGTTGGGGGTTAGGGCTTTAACATGTATTTGAGGGGACACTATTCAGTGCATAGCTTGGGCCAAGTGTGAAAACAGGACATGGGCCTCTAGGAGCTAAAGGTGGCCCCAGGCTGGCAACTGTAGTTGGATTAAATCATTTTTATAATTGATATGGTTATTATCTTGAATTTAGATGGCACACTTATTCAAGGGCTTTATGATGCCATTTCATTTCCATTTTATATCAGTGATACAGTTACTATTCAAATATTGATGGTATTTAAAATGTAAAATTCTTTTATAATGAAGATTCCTAAAAGAGACCCTGTATAGTAATTAAATATTTGTATGAGTTCTAGTTTAATTGTAATGGGCAGCTTCTCCCAGGATTCTCTTTAATGGAGGAAGGATTTGACTTGGTGCCTCAGTATTTTGTCCTTTATTTTTCTGGGTCTCTGTATAGGAATCCTGCCTCTACACCATGAGTCCCATGCCCAGGTGATGATGTATCGCAAGGGGCAGTACTCGGATGTCCTTCATGCCCTGAAAGTCGTTCGCTTTGTCAATGATGCCACACCTCAGGTTGAAGTCTTTCTCCGCATGTATCAGCTGGAGTCTGGAAAGTTGCCTCGGAGTCCCTCCTTCCCACTGGTTAGTGGTACTTTTGTTCAGTACTTAGAGCTCAACTCTAGATTGCCCCATCTTGCTGGTCTTTGATTGCATCATGTTTTGCCTTAGAAACTTACAGTGACTCCCCTTTGTATATAAGATAAAAGCAACACATCTTTCTTTGACATTTATGGCCCTGTATCTTCTGACCCCATCTGTTTAATTTTAAAAAATAAAATATTTTATTTTGAAGTAATTTCAAACTTATAAAAAGTTGCAGGAATACTATCAAGAATACCCATATACTCTTTACCCAGGTTCCCCAGTTGTCTACATTTTTGAACATTTACATTGTGATTTTTCCTATATATGTATACATACTTTTTCTAAGCCATTTGAGAATAAGATACAGACATGGTATCTCAATACTTCCCTAGGTAACCATAGTACAATCATCAAAACCAGGAAGTTGACATTGATACAACATTAATATCTAATCATCAGACTCCATTCACATTTGACCCATATTGTTTTAGAAGTGTCCTTTATCAAAACAAACAAACAAAAGTTTTAGTTCAGAACCTTATCAAATTTTCACCCACTAGTTTTATCATTTGTGGATTTCAAAATTTTTAATGTTTTAACTATTTGTTTAGAAATTATTTTAGACATAGAAAAAAGTTGCAGAAATGGTATAGCGTTCCCATATACCTTCATCTAGCATCCTCAAATGTTGTATCTCACATACCTTAGTATAATTATCAAAACCAGAAAATTATCGTTGATACAATACAGTGAACTACTCTGTGGACATTATTGACATTGTGCTGATTGGCCCACTTATGACCTTTTTCTGGCCCTGGATCCAGTCCAGGATCACACTTCACATTTATTTCCGTGTTCTCTTAGTCTCCTGTAACCTGGGACAGTTCCTCAGTCTTTCTTTGGACAAACTCATAATCTTGACATTTTTGAAGAGTACTGGACAGTAGAGTATCTCTTGGTTTGGGTTTGTTTGATGTTTCCTCATGATTAAAATCTGGTTATGCATTTTTGGCAGAAGTACCACAGAGGTATGATACTTGGTACTGTTGCTGCTGACTTGGATCACTTGGTTAGGTGGTGTCTTCCAGCTTTCTCCAATGTAAAGTTACTATTTTTTCCTTTGTAATTAATAAGTAACTTCTGGGGAGAAAGTTTCAGACTATGTAAATATGCATCCTCTAATGATTCTTGCCTGAAACAATTTTTGGTCTGCTGATTGCCAAATAGTGCTTTTCTAACTACTTCATTCCTTTTGCATTTATCAGTTGGCATTCTTTTATAAGGAAGTTTTTTACCTCTCCCTCATTTATTTATTTATATCAGTATGAATTTATGGATTTCTTTTGTTCATTACTACCATTATTTATTTGGGGATTCAGATTATCTCAGATTTAGCCAGTGAAAGTTCATCAAGTTGACTTCTGTGTCTTTTTTGACAAGTTCCCATCAGTTTGAGCATTTCCTTACTTTCTGGTACAAAAAGATATTCCAGGTTCATCATGTACTTTCCCTACCTCAGGCCTGGAATCTGTCCTCCCCACCCCCCATCAAACAGAGTGTGGTGTTTAGAAACCAAGAATAGGGCACTAAATGCACTCATTGTTCTTGGGTATCACTGCTTCTAAGGCCTCCCAGCGGAAAGAGCAAGGAACTTTATGTATGTGTACACACATTCACATATTCACACACACCTATGTATGTTTACATATCTGTTTATCTCAACATATTGAAAACCTTGAGTTCACACTATTTCCTCCAAATACAATCAAGTTCATTCTAGCCTTTACCCTTTCTGTCTTATGACTTCCTTCTCTGACAGCTGCAAATATGAAGAGGCCCCCATTACCCTCAGTATATTTACTGCTTTGCTTATTCCTCTGTAACCAACACTGCCAGCCACCTCTTGGCCCTTACACCGCCTCGTCCTCAGCCCCACAGGCCCCAGCCTGCTTTTTAAACTTCATTTTTGATAAACTCCTTCCTCTAGTTCCATGGACTACGTATTGTTTGTAAAAGGAAGAGATGGGGAAGAGGAAGAGTTCAGGCAAAGGAATGATTGTAGCTCTTGAGCTTTGGCTATTTTAATGCAATTTGCAATTTACTCTAGGCACTTTAACAGTTTTGGGGGGGCTAAAACAGGGTTAATTGTTCAAAATAGGGATTTGCCTGCAAGCTATACTATCTATAAACTTTATTCTTTTTTAAATATGTTTTTTATTGATTTTTTTTTAGAGAGAGAGGAAAGGAAAGGGAGAGATAGAAACATCAGTGAGAGAGACACATCGATTGACTGTCTCCTGCTCACCCCCCACTGGGAATCAAATCCGAAACCTGGGTGTGTGCCTTGACTGGGAATCACACCAGCAATCTTTTGGTCTGTGGGTCGATGCTCAACCACTGAGCCACACCAGCTGGGCTATTTTATTCTTTTTTTTTTTTGTACTTACCCGAGGACACTTTTGCATTTATCTTCAGATAGAATGGGAGGGAGAGAGTGAGGAAGAGAGAGAAACATCAATGTGAGAGAGACACATCGAGTGGTTGCCACCCACGTGACCCCGGCTGGGGCCAGGGACAAACTGCAACTGAGGTATGTGCCCTTAGCAGGAATCAAACCCGGGACTCTCCGGTCTGTGGGCCAATGCTCTAACCGCTGAGCCAAACCGGCCAGGGCCTATTTTATTCTTTTATTGCAGATTGCAACCTGCCACTCTAGAGTTTGAGCTTTGAATTGTTCTTTTTGAAGTTGATGGTTCCCATGGTTGCCCATAGGTCACCCACTTTTATTAATTTTATCAAGAGAGAATGACCCTGAAAATAATGGGAACTATTGACAAGCTTCTTTAAATTTTGCTTATCTTTGACAAAGTGAAATTGGTAGTACACTGCAAGTTCTTAAATTATATATTAAGTTAGGTTAGATTATCTATTAGTTAAAGAATGATAGGTTCTAGTTGTCACCTCATCCCTGCTCGGCTTGTCCGTTCTTCAAGCCCAGACCCCTTTACCACCGTCTCGGGCAGACATGCTGTCAGAGTGTTTGCATTGGGCTCTGAATGCTACGTTTCCCTGGTTATCAAGCCCCACTCAGCCTTGTTTTTCTTGTCCTTTAATAAGAATGTGTGACAGTGCTTGGCACAGGGCTGGGAACATGGTCAGACAGGGACATGGGTCCTCTTCCCTGGCCACCCAAGCGGCGGGGAGCAGCAATGAGATGCCACATTCAGGAGCTGCGAGCCCAGTGCCACTGCAGGTGGGAGTCCAAGAAAGGAGCTTCCCTCCCCTTTGCTTCTTTCTTCTCGCTCCTCCTCTGACAAGTTAATTAATGTTTAGGAAAATGCATTTTCTACACTTCTGTTACTTGGCATTTTATAGAATAGTAGTAAGTTGAAAGGAAGCCTAAAATGAAGTAGTTTCATTAGAAGAGGAATTTTTATTTAACTTGGAACTTTTTAGGAGAGTAGAAAGGTACTTTTAGTTTCTTTTTTAACATTAAAATCCCTCAGCTATTAAATCCTAGATGAAAATGTATTTTTGTGTAAGATATGGTATTTGGAAACAAAATAGATTTTCAACAGATTCCACTTTTTATAAGATTTCTTTGTTGAAATTTCCTTGAGGATTTACTTTCATGTTCTGAGTATTGACACAAGGTTTGAGAAATGCCATTCTTCTGATTTCTAACATACTGATTCTAGGGACATTTTAACTTTTTAGATGATTAAAGATCGAATAAAATTCTAAAGGTATGTATGAATGCTTTGAAATAAAGAAAATGCTTTCCTAGTCCTTTTGGAGCCGTTTAGTTTTTGGAAATGACCATATTGACAGATGTCTCCAATTATTATTTGTGCTGTGTATCACAGCGTTTCGAAGGAAATTCTCTAACAGTGAGAGTATTTTTGGGTAGAGAGAATAAGCACCTTGCTTCTCGTATGTGTTGGTTCTTTTATGGAGGCCTTAATGCTAGAAGCTGGCAAACCTCCGGGTGCTCAGCCTGAACCCGGGGCGTTCGTAAACAACTCTCATTCAGAAAGATTTCCGTGGTTGCTCATTCTCACATCTTCCTTGGTCTTCTTGTTAGTGATAGATGGTGTACTTTTTGGTTCTACTTTGCTTTATTAATGCGGCCTCTTCAAAATTTAGGGAGTAAGATTTAATTTTTATCGAAGAAATATCTCTTCTGCTGCCTCCCTCTTGAGCTATATTATTAATCTTTCAGAAGCCAGAAGATGAAGTATTTCTTGCCATTGCTAAGGCCATGGAAGAGATGGTGGAAGATAGTGTCGACTGTTACTGGATCATCCGATGCTTTGTGAACCAATTGAATAGCAAGTACCGGGACTCCTTACCCCAGCTGGTGAGGGACCTTTGTTGGCTGTTGGCAGGGGGTGGGAGGGTGAGCAGTGGTATTGGGAGTCTTCAGGAAACACCCTTGCCTCTTGGTGCTGCTACAGTTAAGAGTAGACCCTCTGTAGTAGGAGTCAGCAGATGTTTCCTATAGAAGGCCAGGTAGTGAGTATTTCCAGCTTGGCAGGCCAGACGGCCTCTGTGGCTCTGTTGCAGTCACTCAGTTCTGCTGTTGTCATACAAAAGCAGCCATCGACCGTACATAAAGGAACAGATGTGACTGGATTTGGCCACTGCAGGCCATAGTTTGTCCATCCCTGCTCTATAGTTATAGTATTCCATATGCTGGTCTAGAATCCACTGGTTTTATCTAGAATTTTTCCTCTGTTTGAGTTAAGGTTTAAGTTTGGCTGCCCACAGTGGAAAGACCCCAAAATGGAAGCTTTACTGTTTTCTCTCATGGAACTAGAAGTGCAGAGGTGAGGTAGTCCAGAGCTGGCGCCACAGCACCACGGTCTCAGACGGGACCGGCTCCTGCCTGCTCCAGCATTCTTAGGTGTGATCCTTCCTCTGTGCTCACAAGATGGACCCTGGAGGGACAGCGGTGGCATCTGTGTTCTAGGCAGGCAGGAAGGGTGAGGCGAAGACAAAAGCACAGGAACACAAGGGACAAGCCAGTCAAGGCTGTCCTTTAACAGACTGTCCTTCCGCATGTCAGTTAGTGGCAGGACCATGTTACCTGGCCGCCTGTCTTTAGAGGAGGCTGGGAAACGTGTTTTTATTTAACCAGACACACTTTTCTCCTGTTAAAATAGGATTCTGTTAGTGAAGGAGCGGTGAATGGGTTGACTCTACTCTCACTTGGGAGTCCAGAGAACTGAATGCCATTTACTCCATCAGCATAAGCCAGTGGTCCTTTGCCATTCTCTTTTTCCAGTTTCTTTCCTATTTCTCTCATTTATGAAAATGAATCTGACTCTTTTTCTCAGATCATTGAGTTGTTTTGTTGAATATTCTATTGAATGTGACATGGGCTGCAGAACCTAAGGAAGGGCACCAATGACTGCAGTTGGTGAGGCCCTTCAGCTTTGAAGAGTGTTGAACGAGAGTGTTTTTAAATAGTTAAGTAAAACTTGATTTTTGGAATCTTATATTTTCATTCTTTTAGTTGATTTCAATAAAAATAATGTAAACATGGCATTGGAGTGTCTGTAAATATAATGTTGCCTTATTAAATCAAGATGTCCAAATTACTCCATGATTTAATTAACCTTTCTTATTTAATATTGGAGTAAATTCAGTAACATTTTGAAAACATGTTTAAAAACATGTTCAGTAACATTTTGAAAACATGTTATTTTTGATAACAAGTAATAGAACATACATTCTTGGAGTGTTAAACAATCCAAATAAATCCAGTGTTCCCATAGATCTGTAACACCGACCCACCTCCACTTTCTGAGAAGGTAAACATTGTCATCAGCTTGATGTGTATTCTTCTAGACTAGTATTTTATGTACACTAGGATGGATATATGTGTGTGTGTGCATACATGTATATACACACATATAATTATGTATATATTTACATACAGGTGTAGGCAAACGTAGGTTTACAGTTTTTTGTATGGAAAAAGACATGCAAGTTATGATTATAATGATGCAAAAAAAACCAGTTTCACATACTCACAACTGTAAACCTACTTTTGACCATCCCTGTATATACATATAGTTAAAAGCTATAAATATTATCATACTATTCATAGGGTCCTAAAATTTATTTTTAACTTAATGTCTTGGAGGCTTTCCGAGTTAGTACAGATAGATCAGTAGTTTTCAGCTCTGAATTTCTATTAGTACCATCTGGGAGTTTTTAAAAATACCAGCGCCTTTCCTCACCAGCCAATTAAGTCAGAATCTCTGGGGGTAGGGCCCCAGAATTCTAACTTTTTTAAAACTTCAGGTGATTTTGAAGTGTGGCTCAGGTTGAGAACTAGTTGTTTAGAATTGCTTTTTAAAATGTTTTACTTGCTCATAGTATTTCCTGTTAAGAATTTGCTGTAATTTAACATAACAGGTCCATGGTGACCTTCAGCTTTCCCTTGTCCATGTTCCTTTGTGTTTATCTGTGAGTGTTTCTTTAGAATGGGTACTTATAACAGGAATGCTCACTTGCAGGAGAGACATATTTAAAATGTTAATGGCGCCCTGGCCGGTTTGGCTCAGAGGTTGGAGCGTCGGCCTGTGGACCAGAGAATCCCGGGTTCGGTTCCCACTAGGGGCACGTACCAAAAAATAAATAAATAAAATAAAATAAAATGTTAACTGCCAGGTTGCTCTCTGTACCAGTTTTGCTTCCTCCAAGAGATTATGAGATTTCCTGTTTTCCAGTCCATTGCCAATACTTGATAGTATCTGTCTCTTAAATTTTTGTTAATCTGATAATGAAATGGTATCTCATTTTAATTTACATATCCTCATTTTCTAGTGAAGTTGAGCAGCTTTGATTGTTTATTGGTCATTTGTGTTTGTCCACTTTTCTGTTGTAAGAGTTATCAATAACTTCGGGTATGTCTCCTTTGTTACATGTGTTCAATATTTTCTCACTGTCTGTTCAAAGATTTAAAATTTTGATACTATTGGATTTGTCAATATTTTTCTTTTGCTTTCTTGTATCTTATTTAGGAAGCTCTTTCTAACCCCAAGATTTTAAAAAATTTTGTTTTTTAGTTACCCACAATAAGAAATATACTTGTTTTTTTAAAAAAAAATCCAAATCCTGGCATTGTTCAGAAAAATTTAACAGGTTTATTTATAATTGGTATAAAGTTGAACTGCTGAAAGTTGTTCACTAAAACATTTGACTTGCATGAATGCTTTTTGTCCCCACATTTATATGAAAAGAATTCATACACAAATGAAAATGGGAAAACTGCCAATACCTGATTTCTGTCTTCTCTATTTTTCAGTTGCAATCATACTTAGGTACCTTTTGACCCCATGGAGGGGGGGAATATCTAATGTTCAGAACTACCAGTAACAGGAAGAGAGAATATTTTTTTTAAAAGAATGAAATGCTTCTCATCATAGTGGATTCCTTTTTTTTTTTAATTACTAAAAATATTTATGTTGACATTATTGCAGGTGCCCCAGTTCCCTCCTTTGCCCATCTCTACCCACTCCTGCCACCCCCTCCCTTGGCCTTTACCCCACTATTGTTCGTGCCCATCGGGAATGCATATATGTTATTTAGTTAATCCCTTCACCTTCTTTATCCAGTCACCCCCGTCATAGTGGATTCTTAAGCACATTCTCCACGCATGCAGTGTGCTAGGTAGATGTCTTTTGGTATAATTGTTACACGTTTGGCATGGATAGCACACAGGTTGGTGTCTTCAAAAAGGCCAACCGGACAGGCTCACTTGCCTCCTCACTTGCAGAGAAGCACCAATAGCTGCACTCTGGATGGCATACCTGTTTTAAGTCCTGAGCAATTGATCACACCGGAGGCTGGAAGTGTGTAAATCAGAAGTTAATGGACTTCTCATAACGTGTAATTTCACAGAGTGCTGTGGTACCAGGTCTGTAACAATGTGATTTCTTCACCCCTCCACTAGAGGGCACACTCTTTCCAGTGGGTTTCATAGCCAGTTGCCTCCTGGGTGCCTTACACCTGTCGATTTGCAGGCAGTCTGCTTTGTAGGAGCCATGGTATAGAGACCTCCTTACTCACCCCCTTCTCCTTCGGCTGGAGGCTGGAGCTCGAGGCCTTAGAGAGCGATGGTGGTACAGCTGTGGCTGCAAACATGAAAAAACAGTTTTTTAAAAAAACTTTCTTCTAACTTTTAAAAATATTTAAACATTTAAAATTAAGTCCTTTAATTTGTAGGGGATTTATCATTGTTATAGGTACCAGACAGATCTGATTACATTTCTTGGTGGTTGACTGCAAAACATCTTCAGCCAGCACAGTCCCCCCTCCTCCCCCCACTTTGGTTAACAGTTACTGAAAATGTGCTCATGCCAGGCAATGCTAACTTCGCTTTACTAATGAATTACTTTATTTAAACATATACCTATGTTTTCATAGATGAGGAAAGTGAAGCACAGAGCAGTTAAGTAACTTGTCCAAGGTTACAGTTTGTAAGCAATACAGTTACCCTTTTCATTATTTGTCAGTTCATCAGTTTTTCACAGATTTGAAATGCTACCTTTATCATATACTAGATTTCTATGTGTGTATATTTGTATCTCTGGATTTTTAAAAAAATCATCAAGCTAGTTGTCTAATCCTAGGCCGATACCATTGATGTATTTAATATGGCTTTCTAGTATATTTTGATAGATAGACACTTTTGATAGATAGACACTTGCCTTATTGTTGTTCTTTTTCACAAGTGTGCCTTGTTTATGCTTAAACTTTACTTTTCAGAAATTAATTTTAGAATCAGCACAGTACTAAATGTCCCCTAAACCTTAATTTCTTCATCTTCAAAAAAGAGGTTTATTTTAATATGTACATTATGGTACCTAGCATGTAATTTTAAATAGTTTTGAAGGTTTTTTTTTAATGTTCTTCAGAATATATAAGAAAAGAAAAATTTCCTCTCTCTAGCTGTATGATGTAGGCACTGAATTAAACTTTTCTCTTTAGTTAGACTATGTTTAGTCAACTTTAACATTTTTTATTACTGTTTTATAGTGGATCTCTTCTTCCTAGCTTCTTGTTACAGTAGAGTTTCTGTAATCTATGCCATCTTTTCAAGTTTTTGTGGTTTTGCTAAATAAGTTGGTTATCACAAAGTGTAGGTTTTATAGTTTTAGGGAAGTGTACATGTGACAGACAATAGGACTTTTCACATCAAAGGATATGTCGGTGATGCTGTGTTTGTTATGTCGTAGTATTCTCATTTGTAGGAGTGTATCACATCTTCTCCTCTCCTAACAAGCTCTTGGAAATTCTGCTCTTTAATGAGGCCTCTCACTGCCAAGGACAGTAGAGGCCAACTTCACTGGTGTGACACAGAGATCCTGTGGTTAATCTCTTTGCAGAGCAGACTATCCTTAAGCTGTCTCAAACTTAATTGTGTTTAGTCATTAAAGTATGAGAGTTTTTCTTTCACTGCTGTTGCTGCAGTTTTTTTTAAAGCTATCCTCAAGAGAGGTGTTTTGTTTTTTTTATAAACACTATTAGCAGCCCCTTCCTAAGTTTAATATAAATTTCTCTCGGAGTAGTTAAGTCTCCTTTATGGTCAGCTTTTGCCCTCTGTTCTTTATTTTCTTTATAATATAAGAATATACGGTCATGGAATCATTGGAAATAACCTAAATATTTAACAGTAAAATATAATGATCACATCTACCATTTGCAGAGAACTGAAATTTCAGGTAATATAAATGTTACCTCCTCCCACCAAAAAAAAAAAGCATATATATATGCTTTTTTTTGCTCACTCACTTAGATTTAGCAGTATCACATGATGCACATTTTTCTTTATCCTACTGTTTTCACCTGATATATGCTGGAGATCATGCCAAAATAGTATAGAGAGACATTCCTATTCCTTTTCATGGCTGCATACTACTCCACTGTAGGTATCTACACTAGTTTATTCAGCCCATCCTCTATTGTTGGCCATTTGGTTTGTTTCCTGTCTTTTGCTGTGATACAGTGTTACAGATAATAGCTTGTGTGTACATCTCTTCAAATATCTGCCAGTATATTTTTAAGATAGATTCCCTAGAAATTGATTGACTGATCAAAGGGCAATGCATATGTTACTTTGCTAGAAATATCCATATTCTTCTTCATAAAGCTTATACTGTTTTGCATCCTTATGACTAATAGATGAGAGCACCTGTTTCCCATAGCCTTGCCAACATGGAATGTCATTTTTGACAGTCTAGGTGAGAAACGATACCTCAGTATGGTTTTAAGTTGCAGTTCTTTTATTATTAGCAACATTGAACATCTTTTTATATGTGTAAGAGCCATTTGCATTTTTTTCTATAGAGTTTGTGGCTTTTTTTCTTCTCTATTTTTAGAAGTTCTCTTTACTTAGGGTATTTTTTCTTCAAGGTTGTTTGTTAACCTGGTAAAATGCCCACAATATGTTAAGTACAAAGAGCAAAATGCTAAGTTGTATATTCAGGGTGAGTTCACCTGATGAAAGAAAAGTGTGTGTGTAATGTGTACAGGAAACAGATGAGTGCTATACAGCCTAAATCTTATCACTGGTTGTCCCTGGGGAGTGTGATTATAGGTGATCTTTATATCCTTCTTTATTCTTTTCTGTATTTTCAAGATTTCTTATAATAAGCATATTAAAAATCAGGAAACACTTTAGAAGAATTTAAGACTGGTTAAAATATGTACATTGAGTGATTGTCAACATGTTGATTAATACATTTCAAAATTTTATTTAATTCTCAATATTTATTCATTCAATAGTTATATATTGAGCATATACTATGCCAAGTAATGTTGTAGGTACTGGAGAACTAGCAGTGAGCAAAACAGATACAGCCCCTGCCCTCACTGAGCTTACAGTCTGATAAAGGAAAAAGGCAAGAAAGAGTTTTAAATCTTCACTCATCTATATATTGTTTATTTATGAGAGACATAGTATATAAATGTATGTGTTTTTATCCATGTCACTTTGTAGCAAAAGCACACTGGCAGGACCAATCACACATACACCACTGGCAGGACTGAGCATGTTTTGTAGGGTACAGAGCTCCTTCTCTGGGCATCCCTGCTGGATGAACCTCCTTGGCATGGTGCACAGTAGTGCTCGTGTGGGTCAGCGTGTGTGTGATCCATGACCGATGGGCCCTTTTCATCTCCAGCTCTTTTGTCTCATTCTTCCTAGTTCTCTCTCCCTCTTTAGTCCCATTCTATTTCTCTGGTCTTCCCCTTCTCTTTCCCGTTTTTTCCTAGAGCAGCCAGGAATATCAAAGACTTTCTAAGCTCCTCAGAATAATTGAACTTTGCTTTGGACTTTTTCTGAGGCTGTTGAATCTGGTTAGTGCAATTAACATTAGGGTGACCAACTGTTCCGTTTTGCCTGGAACTTTCCTGGGGAAACCCCTCAAGTCCAGATGAACAGTTGCTTTGGTTATGCTTACTTGGGAAACTGCTACATCACCAGTGACGGGGATGATTCTGAAATTTTGGTTTCTAGCACTTCCTTGCATTCATCATGTACATTTTTCATCACAGGCTGAAGCTCAGGTAAGGTTATGTCACAGGAAGTGAATAATTTCTTCCTGTTTTATCATTAGCCAAAGGCTTTTGAACAGTACTTGAATCTGGAGGATAGCCGGCTGCTGAGTCATCTGAAGATGTGTTCTGCAGTGTCCAGACTTCCTTATGATCTCTGGTTCAACAGGTGCTTCGCAGGGTGCTTGCCTGAATCCAGTTTACAGAGGCAAGTATTTCTTTCAAAGACACACTGAAGGCTTGTCCTCGGAGAAGAGCCCTGTTTTTCATGTGATCATTCTTCACAGTATAAATTTGCTTTAGAACAACACAGTAAATTAAAACTAACTTCTCCAGGAGCTAACGTAACACACAATTCTGTTTGTTATATATACAATTAGAATATTAATATTAGTAATAAGAAATTAACACTACAAATATTAGAATATACAATTATAAAAATCGAGGGCCCTCAATGTATTAGATGCTGTACAATATTTACATCTGAAATAGTCTCCAGGGCCTTTTCTTTTCCAGAAATGTGGTAGGTCTGATTCTAGAGAAAATCTAGGTACTTTTTAGTTTCATCATGACATTGTTAAAGTGGCTGAAGTTAGTGAAAGATTTGAGACTCAAATACAGCGCCTCTAAGTTTAACGGAAGCATTAATTTCAGACAGGTGTTATGAGTATTTTGGAGGCCTGGCCCTTCCCCTCCAAGGTGTTAGGCAATACATAGAGAACATTACAGCACAATACATGACTTAGCATGCAGAGTGCAATACCAACTTTAAGAGTTGTAGGAATTATCAGAGTAATTATTTTAGGTTGGTTGCAGATCAATAACTAGCTCCTTTAGCCTATGGAGAAGTAGAATGAATTTGAACCACTGGAAAATGAAATTGAATTCATCTCATTTCGTATGCCTCTTTTGTTGTTCCTTAGCATTCTGTGACTATATCAGCATTACAGAGTATTAGTAAAGTCTACACTTTGGTTAGGACTTGCCTTCTTGAGGCTCTCAGTGTGAAACAGTAGGGAAAGGGCGTTTGGTGGGTTCCTCGCAGAGCAAATACTTTTCAGTGCTCGTCCTTTTCTCCTTCCAGGGCTGACTGTGTCTAAAATAGATTTCAGATGCCTCATTTGTCATGTTGTTTTTTGATGATTATTTCATTATAGCTCTCTGTAAAGATTATACTTAAAACAAGTGATTTGATTTAATTTTGTAATTTGATATGTCTAGGTAAAGAAATTTTACCTAGTTGATTATATATCTCTTCATTTTTGTAGGGTTTGGGATAAAGTTGTAAGTGGATCCTGTAAGATCCTAGTTTTTGTAGCAGTGGAGATTTTATTAACCTTTAAAATAAAAGTAATGGCACTGAACAACTCAGAGAAGATAACAAAGTTTCTGGAAAATGTAAGTGTGCTTCATTTTATTTTATTTTGAATCTAGAAAGGAAGTCAGCTTAGCAGACTTATTAGCCATATTTTCCTATTGCATTAAATTATTTCAGAAAAATAGCACAGTATTCTTTACATGATAAGAAACAAATTTTCCCTTGAAAAGGTTTAGTTTGCAGTTGATCGGTGGATTATAGTTTGCATCCTCTCTTTGGAGCACGATGGTCTGAGCAGCGAGACTGTCGCCGTGACTGTGTGCGCTCAGGACCAGCCTCTTGTCCCCTGAAGGGACTACTAGGGGCTTGCCAAGGAAGGGAAGAGGCGAGACCTGTCACATTAGGATGTGTAGTCCTTGTGGACGGAAGAGGAGTCCTGGTGTTTAGGGATTGTGTAAGCCCTCATTTCTGTTACCGTCGCTGTTGGGATCTCAGTTGGGTTTGTTAACATGCTTAACTGTAAACTTATGCATGTTGGGAAGGTCTAAATGAGTCAGCTTTTCCCTCTCTGTGTATTTCAGAGTACCCTAAGCAGGCAAAGGTAGAAGTAAAGAGACTTATGCCTGGGAGAATTTCACTGGGTCCCAAATCTGTTCTTTTATTTCATCAGTCAGTATTAACATTTGAACAAATGTCAATCATTATGATAATTAGTGACGAAGTGCCAAGGCTGTGTTAAGTGTTCTTCATGGATTATCTCATGTAATCCTGCATCCAGACCTTTGGAGTGGGCCTATCATTTGCCCCATTTTAGAGATGGGATCTGAACCCAGGTAGCTTAGGTATCCTGCCCAGGGGCACACAGTTTGGTGGACTGGGCAGGATTTGAGCCCAGGCAGTCTGACCCCTTAGCATGTCCTCAGGTGGCATGTGAAACAAAGATCCCGGAAGCAGCTTTTATGCGATCACTTTCTGAAAACCAGTGAGAACTACATAGGGTTTATGCCACAGTGAGGGAGAGGATGACATTGTAAACACTGACACCTCCTGAAGACTGGTTTGCTTCTTCACAGATTCCCCAGGACAGCTCGGATGCAATTGTGAGCAAGGCCATCGACTTATGGCATAAGCACTGTGGGACCCCGGTGCATTCAGCCTGAACACTGTGGCCAGTCTGCCAGGCCCGCCCTAAACAGTTGGTTGTGGAGACACGATCTGCTCAACTGACTGGAAACAGGGTTCTTGCTTTGTCAAAGTGTAATTTCTTTTCCAGTAAAATGATTTAATTACGATACCTGGCATTGCTGTGTTGTGGAGCAGTATCCTTTGGTTACGCAGAGGCACAAAGTTCCACTCTGAATACAATTTAGAAGGGCTGTTGGAGTTACTAAAGTAGTTCGGTCTGGGTGGGTAGGTGCTTTAATAAGCAGTGCATGACCATGCCCTGCCCTGCTCCTCTCTAATTAGCACCAAGCTAGTGACTTGTTGAGGTCTATTTCTGGAATAAAGAATAATAACTTCCTTTTGTTGACAACTCAGATTTGGCTTTTGTTGATGCAGGGACTTGTTTAAGCTGACTGCTTTCTGAGGCTTTGTTTTGCTAAATAGGTTTAAATAAAAGACTTGCATTTTTTTTTCTCTTTGTGCCATTTGGAAGAAAACAGGTATTGAACAAAATATGTCTAAATGTGCCTACCAGAAGAGAGAATACTTGTGGATATTTTGCTGGCCTCATACTTTTTCCTGATGGGTCATTAAATGTTGGGTGGGCTCCAGAGTGGGAGAAATGGCAAGTTAAGGTTAGCAGCTCATGACCCCAGGGCCGTGTTGTGCCACCCAGTGGTAGCTGGACAGCCGCAGGCTCTGAAGCTGGTGAATGAGACGAAGCCCTGTATTTAAGCGGTCAGACCTGCAGGAGCCTGAGTGGTGAGCTGGATTCTCCACCCCACCCCACCCCCAAAAGAGGAGGGAGATCATGTAGTTATGGAGTTATAAATCTGAGAGTCAGTCCCTCCCTAATGTGTGAAATCACCATCAAGGAAGAGTTCAGAGCAACCTGAGTTGTTAACCACCCCGTCCTTCTGTAGAGTATCAGATCTAAGAGTCTTTAGGTTTTTAAAATAACAACGAAGAAATACACTCAGAAGAAACCTTCTTAAAGCAAACTGCTGCCTACAGTTAGTACTTTCCCTTTATTCATTGATTGCCTCTGCCCTGAAGAACTTTCAATCCAGTTAGGGATTTAAGAAAAAACACAAGGAAAAATTCCTGCTCTGGTGTATGCTCCCTGGTGATCTTGGTGGAATGTATGAAATTCAAAGAGAAGTCATAAAACAATAATTTTGTCTCTTTAATTTATGAACCACATATCATTTGTAAACTGCTTAGTAAAATAGAGATTAGAAAGTCAGGTGATGTTAGTGAATCTCGACTCTAGAAAAAGAATTAGCAATCTCTCAACGAGGGGGTAATTTCAAGGTATGCGCTCCAGTTTACGCCTAAATGCTGGGAGGAGATTGGCGTGTCCTAGGGGAAGTGTGGGAGTCAGGGAGACCGAGCGCCTGGGACTCTTGTTGGGAGGAAGCGCAGGGCCCACAGTATTCATCTGCGCGTGGGGAGGGTCCAGATGAGCTGAAAGGGAGGACCATTACTGTACTGCTACGGAATTGGGAAATCGGTACCGTGTGCTTCAGGTGCATTCTGTCAAATGTTTGGTAAAACCTTTCTGGCTATAAGGTGTGGGGGTGGGAATTATTTTTTAAATGAGTTAATCTGAAACCAAGAGTTCTTTATTAGAAAACTAAAGCTTCATCTCAGTAGAAGGGTTTCTTAAGGTGTACCATGAGGACAATGTTAGAACGGTGAGGATCAATTTCATTTCAATAACAGAATTTTCTTTTGCTACGAGCTAAGAACTTTGAAAATGTTTCTGCCCACTGTCTTTGGTGAGAAGCACAGCTCCTGTTGAAAAGGACCCCCATTTCCCTTTATTCAAAACACTTGGTCAGGATATTGTGGAATTCTTGCTCTATGTTAAAGCCAAGGGTTCTGTTGTAGCTGAAACTGTGGAGTTCTCCTTTTCCCTTGGAAGACAGATTTGACATTATTAAATTTAGTTTCTAGTCCTTCCCTTCTGCAGTGGTTTCTTCTTAAACACAGATGAGAGAAGCTCTAAGTCTGCTCTGCTAGGAGACACTGAGGGCATGTGCGTGTGTGCGTGTGTGTGTGTGTGTGTGTGCGCGCGCGTGCGTGTGTGCATGTGTGTGTGTGTGTGTGTGTGTGGCTTCTGTCTGATGACAGATGGAAGTGGCAAATTGTGTGGGCACAGGCTTGTGTATGTGTGAGGCTACTTCAGGAAATGAGGTCAGGGTTCATTCAAATGAAGGGCTTTTTTGGTTCATGGAAAGTTTGCCTGAAAATCATGAGGCAACACTGAACTCACATGATGAGTAGAAAGTGCTCTTCAGGCCTCCGTCCTCTGTGGCTCTGGGGTGTGACATGCTGCCCTGTGTCCAGTTGCTTAAGAATCCTTGCTCTGACCAGCCCCCTGTCATGAGTCATCACCTCCCTGCATGACTTGAGGTTTCATTTTTGTCCCTGAGAGAAGGACCTGGAGGGAAGTCTGTGGGGATGCGGAGGGTGAAGAGAGCCTTTCTGCCCAGGACTTGGTCCGAAGGCTGGTCCCGCTCCAGGTGCCAGCCTTGGCAGGTGCCGGGGGAGTCTAAGCAGGGGCAGTGTCCCAAGCTCTTCCGCCACAGGCAGGCTGGGGGAGGGGCGCTGGCAGGGCATCTTGCTTTGCATTTGCATCTGCATCTGTATCTGCCCCTGGCGCCCAGGGCAGGCAGCAGGGCCAGAGGGCTCGGCCTCTGCCTGACAGGGCCCTGTGGGAATGTTTGCAGCGGGAGTTGGTGGCATCCCTCTGGTGGGTGAAACAAAGGGCTGTTTCTCCTGTGGAGCCTGTGCCAAATGAAACTGCTTGTGGCTCTTGGCATGAAGTGCTCTGTGGATCCGCTGTTGCCTATCCAGAGCCAGCGCCAGTTCGAGTAGGAGGGGGGTGAAGGAAGAGGGGTCATGAGAGCAGGAGGAGGTAGCCGTTCTCCTGGGGGCCATGGCCTGGGCGGGGACTGTCCTTCACCCCTTTCCTGACCCTGCCTTCCTTTTCAGTCTCTCAGCCTCATCTTAGGAGGTTGAAAAGTTAAGAGGGTAGTTAGTTGCTGGTGAATTACAATTCCCCACTGTACTTTGGGGGCTGGTCTTATTGTAGGACAACCACAAGGATTGGAATGGAGACAGTGATCTGAGAAGGACGTGGGAAAAATCCTTCGAGAGGCCTGTTCTGTCTGAGCCGAACTCCAAATAGAATATTAAGCAGGTACTTAGTGTTCAGACCCCCAAATCACACCTAAAATTGTATAGGTATCTCACACACACACACACACACACACACACACACACACGCACACATGGTAGCAATGGCTAGAGCTCAGGCTGATTTCTGAACCTCCTGTCTGGTCTCTTCCTGGTCTCTCATCAACCTCCTTTTCCTACAGTGTTAACAGGTAGCAACCTGGTCCTTGTGGGTAGTTTCAGCATCTCTTCCCTCCCTCTGCCTGCCCTCTGGACATAGTGCTACGAAGGCTTCTGAGGGAGGCCACAAGGAGGAGAGCTTGGATGATTTGCTTCTAAACAGCAGAAGGCCGCACCCCCTGCCTCAGCGGGCTTGCCTCCCCGCCTTCCAGTCCTCCCTCTTCTCTTCTGTTTGGTTCATTTGCTTTTTTTCCCCACTCTCATTCAATCATGAAATAAGTTTGAACACATCCCTCATTATGGGGCAGCTATACGGCTTAACTGCTGACCCAGTCACATGCTGTGGAACTTATAATCATGCAGGAAAGACAAATATTAAACAAATACATATTTTGTCCTCTTCGTCTTTAAGTAAAGCACCTTGCATCACAGGGACAGGGTCACCTGGGCTGGCCCAGAAACTCCGCAGGAAGGTTAGAACTTCTCTGAGATATGTGGTTCTTTGTCCCCTGCCCTTATTAGTGGAAGAGGTGACAGAAAGGGCCTTGGCTGGGGGAAGACGGGTTGTGGGGAGCGTCTGAGCCTCGGCCCCACCCAGCCTGTGCCTCGGTTTCCCCATTGTCAAATGGCAATTATATTACATTCCTTACCCCTCAGTGTGCTTCTGAGCACCAAATGCGTTTAATGTGAAAGTGCTTTAAGAAGCACGAGCTCCACAGAAGGCTGTTTTTAGCAGATGGTTCGCAAGGGTGTAGCCAGGCACTGCCCTGTTTGAATCTGCCCTGCGCTTCAAGGCCTGACTCAGCTGGGCCAGCTCTGAAGACCTCCTGTCGACATCAGGCCGAAAGTGTGTCCTCCTGCCTCTGAGCTTCTGCGACGTGCCAGGCACCACTCCTTTAGCAGTAATTGTTGGGAAGTTTCTCGTTTGGTGGCCCTGAGCTTTGATGAAACTTTCCATGTGGTTTCCCTCTAAAGCAAGCTTCTCGAGGCCAGAGACTGTCTTGTTCCCTTCCACATACTCCGTGTTACCTAGTGCAGTTCCTCAGCACGGTCCCTCCCTGGAAGCAGGCCACCCCCACCCATCCTCGGGCACACTCTCATCTCTGTCGGGAACGTCCTCTTCCCACTGCGGCGCTGCATCCTCCTGTCTTGAAGATTCAGCTCAGGCACCCCTCTTCCAGGAAGCTCTCCTGGCTCTCTACCCTTTCCCTTGTTTCCCTCCACGGCACTCTGTATCCTTTTACCACATTGGTCTAGTGACTTACGCCCCCCACTAGGCTGCAAGCTCCTCGAGGGTGGAGATCATGTCTTATTCTCTCCTTCACTCCCTCAGTGCCAAGCACACCGCAGCCCGCCTGGCTGTCCATGAAATCAGTTGAAAACCTGAATGCCTGGCTCAGTGTTGATGAAGACTTCTCTGGTGACAGTAGAATGAATAATAGAATCGTTCCCATGCTAGCTTGTTAAAGGACACTTTATTATTGGGTACAAGGGTGAGGCTCAGCCAAAGGGAGTAGGGCGGGGATCTGGGATAGGACTAGAGAGACTCTGGCCCTCTCCTCTTCTCTTCGACCTCTCTGCAGTCCAGATTGCTCTGTGAAAGCCGCCTTAGCTTCAGATCGAAGCCTGATGGTCTAGGCCGTCACCGAACCTGTGGGCAGAGGCAGTGGTCCAGTGTGGGTCTGCTGCTGCCATGGAGCCATCCTCTGTGGCCAGGGAGACCGCGGGCTCTCACAGCCATCGCCTGGACACCAGGATCCTCCGTGTCCCTGGCCGTGTAGGCGTGCTGAGTGAGGGACATTGTCACAGGGTCCACTGGGAACTGGGAGGACGCTGTCAGAAGCTTTCCATCCCATGTAGCAAATCCTTTGACTGGTACGTGCCCATAAGTCTGAGTGGTTTTCCCTTCACTGCTTACTTCTGGTTTCCGTCATCCAGTCTGAGGATGGCACACCAGCCCTTTCGGCCGAGGGTGGGCAGAGTGAGACCGCCCCCGGCAGCTTCGGCGAGCAGTGCCGCACGGCCAGGTGTTTCCTTCGCGATCATTCCATCCGAGTGCTTTACTCTGGAAGGCTGTGGAAGGTCGGCTTTGCCCGGCTCCCCCCGCCACCCGGCTCCAGTGGCAGGCCTGGCGGCGAGTGGCCTGCAGCAGCTGTGTCTGTTTGCCTCTGACTGCTAGGGCGCTGTATGGGCCCTCAGGGTGTCCAGCCTCTGGGGCTCTGGACTGAGCTGGGCTCCGGCCAGACCTGGTGACAGTTGGGTAAACCTGAATAAGGTCAGCCAGGGTAGGCAGCTGCTAAGGCTGACTGGTTCAAGATCACAGGGCGGCACACCTCGACCCGAGGAGCCCAGGAAACTGGTTGGTCCCTCCCCAGTACACGAGTAAGAAAAGTGAGCTTCCGAGTGAGCAAGAGGTTACACCAGGTCGCCGGGTGGCCGAGCAGCCTCTCGAACCCAGGCATCTGGCTCCCTGCCTGGAGCGTACTTCACTTCAAGCTGCCCCCTCATCCTGAAACACTGCCGAGTCTGTTCTCTGAGGCTTGACAGCCCCTTCATCTGGACAAAACATTGTAATACTAGTCACATTGCAGACTCGTTAGGAGGATACAGTGCAGAAAGACAGAACAAGCCCTCCATGACCATTAGGTACTATTACATCACACGTGATAAACGTGTGTTCTCCTCAGAGAGGGGCATTGTGACTTACAGTGTCACTAAA